CACACACTCCTGAAGACCTAGGGTGAACAGCAAAGTGGAGTAGAAGTGGGATATAAAAGTATAAAGTGGAGTGCACAGACATACAACAACTTCCCTATCCTGACATGGAGCACAGCCAGGCCAGCCTTGCCTCTGCCCAGCTCTGCACAGTATTTTACATTTGTATAAACTCGAAGTTGGGTTAATTATTATTTCATCCCATGATTTTAATTGTTAATCCCAATCTGAGCCTCTTTCACCCCAGTTGCTAGTTAACTGCTTCTTACTAGCTGTGTGACCTTGAACAGGTTACCTTTTTTTTCTATGATCCTCTGTTTCTTCCTATGTAATGTAAAAAAATAAAAAATTTGGACAGTCTAAAACATGGGGTCACAGGGCATCCATCCCCCGAGGGTCAAAGACAGATACTGTGGATTTGAAAGACTTTGGAAATTGTATCATTAACATACTGATAGGTAGAAAATAGTAGACTAAGAATTCTAACCAAACATCAAATAGATAGAGAGATCTCAGATAGGAACACGGGAAAAAAAGGACAGCAAACTGGTGAACAGAAGTCTGGCTGATTTGATCTATTTAGTTAAATCTAAATGGGCAGTGATAGACTCTCTGGGAACATGTAATAAAGATTTTAAAGAAGGATTCTTTAAATGGAAGTGACTGACTGCAAGGGAAATTCTATGATATCTGGAGCTGAAACACCCAAGGTTTGGCTCAGGGAGACCACCGGTAGAGGAGGAGAGGCATTTTGTTTCACCCATCACACCCTTCTGGATGTACGGAGGGAGAGGAAAGGGAGGATGGATCTTTTAGAAAGACGTCCTCTTATTGGGATGCAAGTGGAAGCAGAGGGAGAACAACTGGTACTTTGCTTATACATAATAGTAGAGAATTTGTGTTCAAGTGTGAGCACTAGGAAAAATACTATTGATTAAATAAAAAGCCAAAAAAAAAAGAATATGATGAATAAGTGAATTCAAAAGATTCCTTTGTGGAGGCAATATCCCCATTGAAAAAATGTTTTCTGAATAGATACAAGGTACAATTTTCAAAGAAAAAGGCATATACAGGGGGAATAAGTTAATTTTCACCTCATTCTCAAGACTTTTCCAGTGATAATCTAAGACTAAACAAGCATAAAAACTCTCGTTCAACGTATTTTCCCAGCAACTAAGCAGTTTGGTGTTTATACATGAGAGATTGGTTGATCTGGCTGGAAATGAAAAGTTTTACCTTAGATATTTTTCTCATGAACATTTTTTAGGAGGTCCATGTATTCTCAAAAAGGGATTCACAAAAACCCTACAAAACATGAGTTTGGGACACAGAGAGCTAAAAATTTAGAACTAAGTTTGAACGAGATCAGGAACAAAAGAGGCTAGCACAGAGTGTGTGAGTGTGTGTGTGTGTGTGTGTGTGTGTGTATGTATGTGTGTGGTTTGGGGCAGAGACAGGTGGGAAGCCATTAGGCTACTAGTGAGTTGTCAAGATCTCCAGGTCTGGAGTAAGCCCTTGGGAAGACAAACTCCTCTAAAATGCTGACGCTCTTACCAGTTTTAAATATTTTTATTATTGCTCTTGGGCATCATAGTTAAATTTTTAAAAATATCCCACCATCACCACCGCCCGGGGCAC